GTAACAGGGTCTGTATGCAAAGTGTCACTTAAAATCTGCAGATTTTGAAGGCGTACTTCAAATATTTGAAACAGGCTGCATTGAAAGGTTGGCATCTTTATTGAGATTAGCTGGTCCTGGAAGCTGAAGCTAAAAGACTTCTACAGCCTTAAATAAATCTAATATCAGAACGATTTTCACAGAAGCCGTCTGTCAGAGCAGTGCAGCGAGATATTGGGAGAGCTGGAAAGGAAAACTTGTGGGGATTTTAAGAGTAATATCTTTTATAGATGTGTATCCATGTTTAAGGATACGATACGACCAAGTCTCAAATTGGGCTAATACTTGGGTTAAGTTACACAGTGATACTTAAAAATGTGCTTTGTGAGCACAAAGCAAAGCAGGAAAATACCCTCAGCGTGGACCAGAGAGGTCTGTGAGTTCAGGACTGGAACAAGGATGGAGGTCTCACTGGTAGGGCTCTCATGGCAGCGGAGCGAAGCTGCACCACCTGACTCCATCAGAAGCTGTGGGTTACTCTGCACAGTGTCAACTAGAAAACCAAAGGGGTAAATTAATTTAAAAAAAGTCAAACTTTTACTATAAGTTAAAGAGAACAGCGTTGCCATGAATAGTTTCGGCATTTTTGCAGGCAAACCTAGAAGAGCTGAGAGTCCATCGCCCAGAGGAAAGCGCTGGTAGCGCGGGATGCTGAGAGGAGGCAACAGGTGAAATCTCTTTTCAAGGAGAGGCTCGAGGCGGGAGGCTGAGGGGTCTGCTGGATGAAACAGGTTGTAAACCTGCTGACAGGCTGGCCGTAGAGCTGACACTGGAACAGCAACAAAGAAGACAGATCAGTTTGACATTTGCAACCACCAAATTAAAACCAATTAGCTCTATTATTACATATATCATCTGTTAGGATTCTTTTTTATAATCCATGTAATTTCTAGTTAAACCTTAATATTACCTGTCTGTTATGTGTTAAGGCTACTGTTTTCCCAAGCAGTTAAACCTATCGGGACAGTTCTTCTCTCAGGATAAAAATCATCTTCCTTATGTACATAACAAGGATTTGGGAACAAAATGGGAGCATAAAGAGTGACACATTCTTAACAGAGAGCTTTGGCGTTGTGCGTTGGTTTGTCCTTGATCTAAAAACACTCTGTTATCTTGATGTGGCTCGGGCCAGCCATGTCTCCTCATTTACAGATCTTTATGATGTAATGATGTGAGATGTGATGATATGTCAGGGTGGGACCCTGGAGATGTATAAAGTGGTTCTTTAACTGTTAGTCTGGGCCCGACTTTCTGAAGAAGCCAGGTGGAACCATTGCAAACAAGAACCATTTCTCTTGTCAGAGACAGATTACAATTTCTGTTAAATCTGTTGTCATCAGTCATTTAATACAAAACATTAGCATATTGTGATACATGTACAATATTTTTTCATAATGTAATGATAAAACTTCAACATTGATATATTTTAGATTCGTTGCACACTAACTGAAATATTTCAGGTCTTTTATTGACTTAATACGGATGATTTTGGCATACAGCTTACAAAATTAGCATATCATGAAAAAGGTCTCTAAATGAGCTCTGCACCTAATCATCTGAATCAACAAATTAACTCTAAACACGTGCAAAAGATTCCTAAGGCTTTAAAACTCCCAGCCTGGTTCATCACTCAAAACCCCAATCAAGGGTAAGACTGCCGACCTGACTGCTGTCCAGAAGGCCGTCATTGACACCCTCAAGCAAGAGGGTGTGACACAGAAAGATATTTCTGAACCAACAGGCTGTTCCCAGAGCGCTGAATCAAGGCACCTCAGTGGGAAGGAAAAAGTGTGGCAGAAAAGCTGCACAACGAGAAGAGGTGACCGGACCCTGAGGAAGATTGTGGAGAAAGGCCGATTCCAGACCTTGAGGGACCTGCGGAAGCAGTGGACTGAGTCTGGAGTAGAAACATCCAGAAACATCTAGCAGGAAATGGGCTACAGGTGCCACATTCCCCAGGTCAAGCCACTTTAGAACAAGAAACAGCGGCAGAGGCGCCTGACCTGGGCTACAGAGAAGCAGCACTGGACTGTTGCTCCGTTTTGCATGATATTTGGAAATCAAGGTGCCAGAGTCTGAAGGAAGACTGGAAAGAAGGAAATGCCAAAATGCCAGAAGGCCAGTGTCATCTACCCACAGTCAGTGATGGTCTGGGGCGCCATGTCAGCTGCTAGTGTTGGTCCACTGTGTTTTATCAAGGGCAGAGTCAATGCAGCTATGAGGAGATTTTGAAGCACTTCATGCTTCCATCTGCTGAGAAGCTTCATGGAGATGAAGATTTCCTTTTTCAGCACGACCTGGCACCTGCTCACAGTGCCAAACCCCACTGATAAATGGTTTACTGACCATGGTATCACTGTGCTCAATTGGCCCGCCAAGTCTCCTGATCTGAACCCCATAGAGAATATTTGGGATATTGTGAAGAGAAAGTTGAGAGACGCAAGACCCAACACTGTGGATGATCTAAAGGCTAAACGCTATGGAAGCATCCTGGGCCTCCATAACACCTCAGCAGCCCCACAGGCTGATTGCCTCCATGCCACGCCGCATTGAAGCAGTCATTTCTGCAAAAGGATTCCCGACCAAGTATTGAGTGCATAACTGTACAAAATTATTCCAAGGTTGACTTTTTTGCATTAAGAACACTTTTCTTTTATTGGTCGGATGAAATATGCTAATTTTATTAGATAGGAATTTTAAGCTTTCATTTTCTGTATGCCAAAATCATCCATATTTAGACAATAAAAGACCTGAAATATTTCAGTTAGAGTGCAATGAATCTAAAATATATGAATGTTCAAGTTTTATCATTACATTATGGAAAATAATGAACTTTATCACAATATGCTAATATTTTCAGAAGGACCTCTACATGCTGCATGCATTATAATGTGTTTTTAAAGTGGTTGTTCCGAGTGATCACTTCTCAAGAGAATCAGGTAGAGAAAGTGTAAAGGTGTAAACACGGAGCTTTCATTTACACCTGTCATCAGTCATTGATCTAAATATAACGCCATCTCTCCTGCTGGAAGCTGTTAATCACGTTTCTCCGCCCAATCCCATCAGATTGGGGTCAAAATCTGAATGTGAGAAAATTACTGATTTGAAAGGGTAAAAAAAAAAAATTCCTGAAACTGAAAAGGGAATATGGAACTAAAAAAAAAAAAGAAACTGAAAGGAATTTTAATCTGAAAATCTAAAACTGCAATAAATAAAATAAATAAAAAGAGGAACAAGTATGTAAAATACTAAACTGAATTATCAGTTTTTTAAAGCTGAGCAGAAGAATTTAGATTAGATTCTTATTATTTTATGTTTTCTTTTTTAATTTCTTAGACAAGGTAAAAATTTGAAATTCAATATCCCAATTTTTTCAACTTTTTTTTTTCAGTTTCAAGTAACATTTCTATGTTTACAAACATTTTGACCCCTTTCTGACTCCATAAAATACTTTTTTAAGGCATTAACTGAATGTTTAATGGTTAATGTCTATGTCTCAGACGTCTCTGGAATGAGACCAATGTTTTCCTGATTTTCTTTCTATGAAATTCCCTGTAGAAATAAAGTAAGCGCCCAAATATTCTTTAAACTGATGGTTGTAATTAGAAATCTGTTCAAACAGCTGCAGGAGAAATCCTTTTAACATCAAAATCCCAAGAGAGAACAGCAGAGTGTGACGGATGCCGTTTGAGCTCATCTCTCACGTATATAATTCTGTCAGGGAATCAGGGAATATGACCTCTGACCTCTGACACCTGCTTCCCAGCTGCTCCACATGGAGCTAACACCTCCTCTCTGCTTCAGCCAATCAAAGAGCATCTGATATCAAATAAACAGCCTTTCTCACCATCTAAGGAGGGGACCACAGTCCTTCTCAGAGCAAGCACCAGCCCCAGCGGAGAGCCGAACAGGAAGAAGTCGGTTACTTCAAAGTCAAACTTTCCCAAGGAGCCCCCCTCCAGCATGGTGCTGTTACTGGAGCGCCGTGACCCGGGTTCCCCATGGAGAACACTAGAGTGCAGGCTGCTCACAGAGAAACGGGGAAAGCAGACATGAGCGGGACTCTACAGTTCCTCAGATAATTTGTGCTTCTCTCTAGTTCACCTGGAGAGGAAGGCTTGGTGTTGTTTGATGGTGTCCAGCTCATACGTGGAAGAGTCGCTACGCTTGCGTGGAAGCTGTTTCTTGGGGTCGTCCGGCCCTGAGCTGCGCGGGATGTCTATGTTGCTGCGGCTAAGATGGCGGCTTCCTTCGAGGGATGGGGAGATGCTGTTTATGATAATACCAGGAGAAAGGAGTTCTGTGTCCTGAGAATTAAAGATGGAAAGAAAAATAAATCAGTTGTACTCCATTTTTGTATGCGTTGTCAGCTTTTTCCTAGAGAGATGCTTCAACCTAATGTCTTTAATTTTAAATCTTGGTTTCCTACTATATGGGGTTTTATCGGCAATGCAAGCAGCAAGAACACATTGAGATTCATGAGGGCCTTCAACAAAAAACATGACCTTTGCATTATAACATCACAAAGTTTCAGAGAGCAACAAAAATTACTAAAAAGATACATGTTTTAAAAGACCAAATAAAGAAGCTAACTGCTAATTCGACTTATCTTTGAAATAAGAATTTAAATGTCAAGGTCACCATCTCATATATCTCCAAAAAAACCTTTTCCTTCCAAACTAAATTTTATTCTGGATGTTAAAATTATCTCATATCTCACAAGTTATCAAAGATTATAATATAGACTCAAAAGATTATTATTTTTTTGGCTCAGCTTTTCAGTTATTTTTATTCTATATATATATATGCAGTCATATGAAAAACTTTGGGCACCCCTATTAATCTTAATTATTTTTATTTTAAAATATTTGGGTGTTTGCAACAGCATACATTAGTTTGATATATCTAATAACTGATGGACACATTACTATTTCAGTATTGAACTGAGGTTTGATGAAGAAAAGTGCAGTAAGCATTAAAACACACATTTTTTAAAATCTTTTTCTGTCATCCATTTTCACAAGCTACATTTGGGCCTGATTACTGTCAAATATTTGGAGAAAAAAAAGGCAAAACAATCTGCTAAATAGTGCCTGTCTAACAACATGAAATTGGCTAAAAGATCTGAAATACAACGTATGATGTCACCAATATAAAAAGAAATTCAAAAACAAGTGAGAGAACAAAGGTATCTGTGTGTGTGGAAAGAGCAGTAAAGACATTTAAAATCCATAGAACCACAATAATATAAATAATTTATTTAACACAGGAGAGATTCAGTTTGTCTGATATACGAAGTGATGGTTTAATTGGAACAATCACTGTTACCGGTATAAGGAAACACATGTAACAGGTTATATACTAGAGCTATAAAACTGGACAACAAACAGTGACTCAATATTTACATATGGTGAACTCTATGATTGTCAGTGATATTATTAAACCTTTTAAAGAATTTTCTTATATTTCTTTTAATTCAACAGCCCCAAACTAGATATATTTAATTTATCTTAAACATGAAACACAGTAAAGTCTAAGTCTAAAAGTTTTTTGAATTGGAGAAGGTAAAACCTAGCCTTACAGTTTTCTACACTAAAAAAAAAAATCGATCTAGAAATAAGTACAAATTTCTTAAATCAACTTTATTTACCCTTAATTTTAGAATGTAATTATGATGATTTGCCAATGGATTGAGCATGTTTACTCTTAAAATAAGATAATTAGATCATATGTGCTTGTAATTTTTTTTTTCTTATTTTAAATGTCAATTGTCTTGTTCCATTGGCAAAGTGTCTCACTTACCTCCTCAGTTTAAGACAAAATGCACCTATTTTAAGAATCTGACTTATTTAGTTTTCTATTTTTTGCAGAGTAACCACTAGATGTCACTGTTTCCTCCTTCAAACTCCAACAGGAGGTTTAACCTTGATTTGGTTGTTTTTTATACCTGTATGTTGCCACTATTTAAAAAAATAGTTTTATTCTCAATTAGTGTTTAGAAGAAAATATCTTTATCTAACTTACCTTCTGATCAGGCAAGTGCGCCACTTCCTGGCCGGGAGAGTAGTTATGTTTAGATAACATGTTAATCTGCTAGACATTATTAACCACTGATCTCTATGTAATCACTGCATTGCTGATAGGTAGTACAGGGTTCTGTGAAGTCACCAGCCACCATATTGGTACTCCCTAATTAGAATTGTCGGAATATAAACAATATGTGCGCTACAGTATAGAACAATGGTGATGCTCTCATTTTCAGGGGGGCTTAAGACTTTTAAATCAAAGATAAAGCCATCACTTTGAAAAAATTGCTATTTCATATCATCAGTAGATTACTGTAATGTATGGTAAAAAGGCACATCACATTGCATAGTCAGTATGAAGTCTATAAATCATGTAATATAACATATTATAAAAAAATCCATCACAATATTACAGGCATTTTTATGGCATGACTCCGTGAAATTGACTTCAGGTGACTCCAATTTTTTCAGTAAATCAGCAATCCAGTGAATAAATAGAGATCAGTGTTTTTATGTCACTGGAAGCTGGGACTATTTGGTTTTAAATGCTAGAACTTCCTGGTAGATTGATGCTTTGCATGATCCAAAAATAAATGTTTTTTTATTCTAAACAAAAAACATACTTTTACCCAATATAACAGAGCAAAGCTGCCAGTTAGGGAAGTTAGTGTCAGAGAGATTAGAGGTTTACCTGGACGCTAATGGCGCTGCCCCGTCTGCTGCTGTTCTGGCTTTCTGACACCGTCACAGAGCTGCTGCAAAGAGCATCGAACCCCAGGATCCCTCCCACACAGTCCCCAATCACACAAACCTGTGAGTCAACAAAAAACCAAACATAATAACTTCACAATTCAAACTGATTTATTCATGTATTTAAGTCACATCCCTGAACACCACAGACTGACCTGGCCGCTAAAAGATGCTCCCTCAGGAGACTTGATGAAGTCACTGTAAACCTGATTGGCTCTGAGGATAACTGCTGCCACAGCGTCTTGGTACTGCGGCGCAGAGGTAGCCAGGAGAGGCAGAGCAGCCAGCGGGATGTGGTCCTGGCTGCTGGACAGGCAGCTCTCGTCGTAGCTGTAGGGACTTAAACTACAGATCACGTAGGCGGGCCACTTTAGTTCTTTTCACACAGGAATTAAGATGTTCTACAGTGTGCTATCAAAATACTCATGACTCACTTGGAGACAAGAGAAAAAGCTTCAACACAAATAGCAGGACAGGGGACCATCCGGATGGCGATGCGCCCAAGAGCAGTAGGATAGTGGACCCTCATTACTGTCTCAAAAGCTCCACTCAGCGTGTTCACGTCTCCCTGTTTATTGTTCTGTTCGCCTGCAGACAAATAGGAGAATATTTAAAAGAGTTCAGCCTGCTAAGAAAGGCAAAACCTAATTTAATGAATGTTTCAAAAATATTTTACTAGGTTTTAGATCTCTGCCCTCAACTTTAAAAATACACGCTAGTGTTAATCATTGTAGCCACAGCTGCCGTGGGGCAGGAAGATTATATTAATTGTTCCTCAAATTAAGGAAAATATTATTCCCTGGTCTGGGTGAATACTCAATTCTGATTGGCTGCAGGGCATCCATTAAAGGAGAAGTTCGTCATATTCAGAATTCAAACTAGCGAAAGTACTTTAAATATAAAATTACACATTGTTCAATAAATGATCAGTGTTTTTAATTAAGAGTAATTTTCATTTGAATGTGCTTCACTGGACACATCAATGTTTGTCAAAGAACACTACTGCCACCTACTGGTTTGTGACGTCACGGTGCGGTATCGGCTGTTGATCAAGTCCCAGTGCTGTATCTGGTGTTTGTCACAACGCACTATTATCCAAGTCATCTTGAAAACATTCTTCTTCCAAATGTTGGCTGCATATTACGTGTGTATGAAGTTTCGATGGCAAATGCTCCCTTTTCAAGTTGGCGATCCAACGACCAACCCGTCATGAATCGGAAAGGAAAAATAACTTCTTTTTTTTTTCACTTTTACTTGATGTATTCCAGCATCCAGCTGCCATGCACATGGGCATTGTCAGTTTCACTATAGCTCTGGTGAATTTCAATGGTGAAGTCCTCTGGAAATCTTCAATAATTGTTGTTGATTGCAGATGTGTCTAGTAGTTCCCATTGGTTTTGCTTGTAAAGCGGGGAGAATGGCGCTAGGCTTACCGCACCGTGATGTCACTGCCGGAAGATGTCAGGAGGGACGTGTTACTATATTTGGGCAAAAATGGCCGCTACCAGACTCAGTGATCGTGACGCGAAATTAATTAAATCACTGCAAATGTATTCGTTTTAGGTATAAATAATGATCCATTGATTTGTCCTTGCTGACCAGACTTTTCCTTTAAAAAGTGTTATAGGACACCTTTTAAAAAAGTTCCAGACATGACACTTAACATTAATGCTTTGGCCAGTGCCCGTTACATTGGCAACGAGCCACAAGTCCACTCAGCCAACTCTTGTGAAAAACTTCAGACTATAATGGTTAAAAAAAACATTAACATATTCATAATTGATTCAATAATAAATTATTTTGTAAGTGACTATGGTATAAGCAGGATAATATCATTATCAGAGATGAATGGATGAAGTAATCTAAGTGTAATGGATGGTGGAAACACCTCAATGAATTTATGATGATGGATGTTTTGTCGAGTATTATTCTTTACATTAACTAATCTTATGATTTAGTAATTTATCTGTCATTTGTGGTTTTATTTGTCTTTATTACACTTTATGTAAGCTTTGTTTAAACAGCCATTTATTGGATATGTTTATTTTGCCTATTAAACTAGATTGAGTCCATAAAATAATTTTCTTTAAACAAACATAGGTACTTAGCTTGGATCTTCATCTCTTCTGCTACCCTTTGCTGGTGTTTATTTAAGTTCAAATAGATCAGATGTTCCAATAAGGCATAACTGATGCATTACAAAACAGCAGTTTTAAATCTTTGGTTTGAGAAAACAAATGGTTTTAAATCAATACACTGCTGTACCAGAGCCTGTGTCCAGTATGTTACCACCATGCAGGACCAGAATAAGGACATGGATTTTGGACGGCTGGGGACACTGCTGGGACGGGTCCTGCAGACAATTGGAGGGGAGATACGGGGGAGGAGGGGAAAATAAGGGGAGGTTAAAAAGAACTGATGGAGCATATATTTAAAGGAAAAGCCATAAATGAATATCCTACATCTCATAGCATCACATGTACTCAAGTCTAAACCATACTGTGTATATGGGGTGAGATAAGTGTCAAATAAAACATCTACATACACGTCAGAATTTGCAGATTAAAGTAAATAATGTAATTAATTTAAATAAATTTATTACAACTTTGCAAAATACAAACACAAATTCCAAATGTACAAATACAAAATAATGCAAATCTCAAATGTATGAACACTAAAACCTTTTTAAAGTACAACTCACATGAGTATAAATCAGAAATTCACAGGTGAATATAAAAAATGTCTAACTACAACTAATACATTTACGAGTAAAAGTCAAAAACAATCGACCAACACCAATAACGAATTAATAAGTAAAAATTAAAGTCTTATATTAGTGATCTGTGTTCATAGATTTGTATTTCTGTTGCTGCAACGTTGTAACTTTTTATGACTTCTGACAAATTCATACAAATAAAACATCTGTTTGTTCCTCATTGAGTTGACGAGGAACAAATAAAAATCCTATTTTTTTTTTATTTAATTGATTTTAATGTACAAATCCAGACACCTAAACATACATTTTATTGGCCGTTATCTAAACCCATACAACCCGTAATTTTTCATGCGCTGTGAGCAGTTATAAAATCCAATTTAATGAGGGATCTGAGAGGTAAGTCAAGGCAAAATTAAGGTGATACAGAAAGATACACACAGCTGCAGGAAAATGTATAAAGAAATTTAAATATAGACTCTGATTGATACAAAAGGGAAATAGATGCAATGACAAAGAATATTAGAAACTAATGGTATACACAATTAAATATTAGTGAAATGAGGATTAAGAAGGTAAGACGGTGAGAAGAGCTAAGAAGGTTTAATGTAACAAAACATTTTTAAAATAAAGAAGTTTAAAAAGCACATCTCAAATAACAAGTGACATAAGAAAACAGCAAGAATATATATATATTCTGCCATATTCAATTAATATAAATGTATTTTCAAGGATTCAGTTATTTAATTAACATTTTCAACAAAGTACAACACACAGTGCACATCATTACACAGATAAATATCCTCAATCTTTTATTTCTTTTACTTGTGATTATTTTTTTCTGCTCCCAGCTAATAAAATATCATTAAAATTAAACCAGTCAAATAAAAAAAATTTTGAAATGGAAAAAATGGACTTCATAAAAAGCCTGATTTGGTAAATTTCGAAGGATACTTTTAATCTGACAAACACAGCTAATCCGAATCCATATTTTGAAAATTATATTTATGATGTTTGACTAAGTCACATCATCGTACATGTATTAAATTTATCATAGATGCAAACATTACGGGGTAATTAAACTGCACACAGTCTAGTATCTCTTTATCGAAAATATTATTTACATTCTTCTTAAACCAGCATGTTCAGATTCTTTACTTCAAGCACTTGCTATAGATTATTTTCCTATAGCTAAAAATCCTTCCTACATTTATATCTGTGGACTGCCTGCAGACTTTCACGCTCCTCTGGTCAGATTGGTCTAAAACCTCAGAACCTATAAATGGTCTGAGGCTTTACCCTGTCAGCAGTAAACAGTCAGGAGGCAGGATTTTACTTTTCTATTTTTGGAGAAACACTAAACATAGCTGTAGTCTGCAGCTGGGGATGAATCTTTTTTTTAATGTAGATTTGAAAGAGAATTTGCCCACAAGCTCTTTATGATGCATCGATTTAAAAACATAAACTGAAGTAAGAAAATACTGAAGGAACGTTACCTCCATCTGGGTGTCCTCTGTGATGCTGTACTCATCAGTAGACTCCTGATAGGATTCTGTTAGAACAGAAATGAGCTCAGATGTTAATCATTTATGGCATCAGAATACAGCACAGTTATTCTACGTTCACATCTAAAGCAGCAGAGGCAGCAGAAGCAGCTGGTTTACATGCAAAGTCAATGGTTGACGTTCATCAAGGCGCAGCAAAAGGTCCTGCAGCGCGTTTTGAGCAGCTGAAGCAGCGCCTCACGAGCTTCTGAGAAACAACAACAACAGCTGCTGCTTTTGAAGCAGGTGGAGTTGGAAAAAATTTACTTTTGCTGCTCCACGCACCACATCAACCAATCAGAGAAGCTGATCTGGGAGCTGGCAGGGAGTCAGACACAGTACTGCTGATGCAGAGCGCTATGATCACTCCTCTGAAACAGTTTATTAACGTCTAAATTAACTTAAAATGCTGAAACCTGCCGGCAAAATATGTTCGCTTTTATTATCCTGGTGCTTGCAGTTTGGATTATGTATATGAAAAACGCTAAAAGCTACTTCCAGCAGGTGTAGGTACCAGATCTGCTCGGGTCCTGGGCATGCCAGTGACGTTACGCTACATGATTGGCTGAAAGTTGCCACATGGTGTAAAACGTTGTGGTTGCCCAGACAATGATAATAAAATCAGTGTGCGGAGTCGGGAGCATCTGTAGGGTTAAAGTTTCTGATGACCGATAAAGTTTTACCTGATCGTTAACAAAACTGAAAAAAAACTGTTTTTGGTGAAAAGGGTAACTCAAGGCAGTAGTGTAAAGGGGGAGTAATTCCCCTCTGGGATTATTAAAGTATGTCTGATTCTGATTCTGTCTGAGAGCTGGTAGCGCTGTAGTTGGCTGTGCTGAGTAGCTAACAGGCTAGCATCTTTTAGCGCAATCAGTTAGCGATTTAACGCTACACTACTTTTGAATTTGTATCAACAACAACCGTTCGTTTTCTACAAGTACAATTACTGTTTTATTTGCCTAAAATCTCTACAAAAGTAATTTTTTTAAAGATTTCCTTCATGCCCTCAGATCTTAAAAAAAGTTTCAGCTTATTTTTATTCTTTTTTTATTATCACCTTGTTAAATGGCAGAGCTCAGTCTCAGAAAGCAGTACTTTCTTTTAAGACTGACGATTGTTTTCTACTTTCCGCTACTTTAGATCGCCAAAGAAATTTAAATAATAGCAAATATAGGTAATAATATGTTGAGACACCAAAAGAGATTCGATCATTAAAAAACGGGTGCAATATAGTTTGTCCGAGTGGAATTGCCATATGTTGATGTCCTAAGAAGGGGCGGGGTCCCAAGCAGATCTGGTACCTACACCGGCGCCAAAAGTAGCGGCAAACCGTTAGAAAGCGACCGGGCCAGAGGCTGCTGTTGAACGGGATTCCCAGTTACAGAGCACTGCCAGTGAACGGGGGTCTGAGCGGCTCCAACAGCAAGATAATATTTGAAGGCAGGATGGTATTCTGGATGAATTGACAACACAGATACATTTTTCTGGTGGACTTTCTCACTTAAAAACATTAGAACTACTTTTTACCCACTGATCACAGTAAATTTGGCTGCCATTGCTACAGGCAAAGAAAGGATAGGGTAGCTCCGCTCAACGTGCGTCGGACCCATTTTCCACCACACAGCTAGAGCAGCAAAGATGCTTCAGCAGCGTGTCAGAACTAAACTTGTACAAGTATGTAAAATTAAGCATTATGCGCGTTTTTGCTGCTTCTGCTGCTTGCGGTGTGAACGTAGCATCATATCAACTCTGATGGTCATTCACCTTGTGATTCATCCACTTCTATTGTTTCTATCTTGTCCATGAGATCATTAGAGCTCCACTTGGTGATTTCCTTGGAAAACATCTCCTCGTTATCAGAAAGGTCCTCTGCAAAACATCAGCAATAGCTTGCATGTAACACAAAATCTATGTTTTATGTAGATTGTGGTTAATTTTCTTTTGGATACATTTAGATTTACTTTAAATTCAACTCTTACCACCGCAAGAGCAATACAGTTATTTAGTTAATAATGTTATTGTGTTAGAATGGCTTGGCAGTGGTGGCTGCAGCTCTCTTTTTAAAAATGGGAGGCTCAATGGTTTTAATTAAATCGAAACGTCACATATTGCATTAACAAATGGAGCCTAGGCAGAAGTTCAACTGAAGAAACTCATTTATCTCCTACATCCACC